TTGTTTTTGAAACCGGAGGTGAGATTCGTCGCATTCGTTCGTCATCCGGACTGCTTGTTGACCACCTATGCACCGCTAATGAAATTTATCTCGTAATGAAATTCTTAGCTCATTGCTAGACTGCATCCCTTTTGTTTTTTGAAAGTAAATAATATGTGACCGCTTTTCGTAATGCAAGATTTTGGAACGTTCTATCCATAAGCCAGTCGACTGTGCTGAATATCTGCAGAGATCGTCACAGTCATGCATTCATCGATGAAATTTATTCAGGATTCTTCGGAAGTGTTTTCTCAGGCGCAGTTGCAGACTTCTTGTGTGCTTACATTGCGTTGGATCGTTCACGTTTCCTAACTGGTATCATGTGCACGGTTGGTATGTTCGCCTCTCTTGGGACATTGTTCACATCGGTAAGTAGTTTTTCGAGTATTGCGAAACCGTATGATATAGTGCTCGTGTCAGATCTGCATTTTTTTAATCGTTTGACTGTGCAGATACCTTAACTTTCTATGTTTGTGCATGAAATCAGCAGAAAATATCCCGAAATTATTCTCCTTCACCCGAATAAGAGGTTCATTGAGGGTGCATTATCATGACGGAATTGTAACGGTTTAGGAATGGATATTAACGAGTTCATTTCTGTTCGGAGCGTGTGTTTATGCGTGCATCAACATATGGGGAATAATATCGACGGATATGGTCGATCAAGCGTTCACGGGTCGATGCAGTGCTTTTGTTAATTTTATTTCGAATTGTAAGTTAATCACAAGTTTACTTATTCCATTACTCATTAACTGTGTTTGATACTGATGTGCGCGCTTTTGAGGTTTTTATCGATGAGCTTTTGAAACGTTTTTGATGTTGTATTGGGATGAATTTTATCACCGATGATGCGATTAGCATGGAGAAACATTTTCGTAACAGTTCTGGCGCATGTTTTGTCTGAACTACGAAAAGAGATTTATGCGGAGCTCGATTATCCTATTAGATAATATGATATGTTTTCAGCGTTTGCGGTTTTTGCTGGCTCTCCCCTGGCGTGGCTGATTTCAACTTATGGCTACTCGGTACTCTCAACACTATCCGTTTCGTTCATAACTCTATCGCTCAGTGTATACGCGTTTCGATGGAACGTTCCACTTCATATCAAAGGCGAAACAACGCGTTAACAAATCGCTGATTGAGATTCCTTCATCAACATTTGTTTTCCGTGTAAAAATTTGAGAAAGTTTCGTGATTTATTATCCTCGTTTACGTTTGTGCAATTACATTTCTGGATACTTCAGTGGTTCATAGATTGCTGATGTAAATTATCGTCATTTGAATTTTTACAATTGATAGTTCATAATTTCCTCGCATAATTGTGCATAAAACGCTATTATCGTTAGCTGCGCGGAAAGAAGAATGCCAACGAAGGAAGAATGTGATATTAGTGATATTGGTAATAACAGAGAGGCATAAACTCGTAATGAGTTTGATTTGCTGATTAAATAAATCAATAAATAAATTGTGCATAATTTATAATTGTGCATAATTTTACATGTAAAGTATGTATGTATAAGTTGTAAGCAATCTCATGTTTGAATGTGTCATATCAATGAAATTCATCATAGTAACCTCTGTCGATTTTGAATTTTGTACTTATTTCGTTTCTGTTTCGTTTCTTTATGTTTGCTTCCTATGTAAATGTTGTATAACAATGACGGAATGAAATCCTGAGATATATTTTGCATTTTAAAATTTGTCCTATGCAAAAGCAACCGTATTAAGCAACATAATCCCATAAGTATGATCCGAACGAGATGTACATAAGCGAGATATTATCAAAAACATTTTACTATGTTCAATGAGATGTTATCAGATAACAAGAAATACAACATTATCACATTCAAATACAACATTATCATTTCACATAAGTTATCGGTGATAACATGAGACTGAATAACACATCAGGACTGAAAATACGATGCATACATGAGAGCATATTTCGTCATGCAGAAAAAATCAGAAATTGATAACACGTGATTTAGAAGTTACATCATTCAGTTTGCGATTCGGTCACCTCTGGTTGTATTTAGTTTGAGCAGCTCGTTCCATTCAGCCAAGTTCGATTGCACATTCTCATATAAGCATAAATTTATCGTTGGCTGTCCATTCCCATCGAAAGCGCCTTAAAGAATTGAAATGATTTCCTTACAATTAGGAATGGTGCGATCAAATGGATATTTTCAGACAGCCATGTGTTAAGCCAGTCAGCCATGATAGCAAGAAATTATCATGGTTGAATGGCTCAGCACGGCTGGCTTGAAGCCCTGAAAGCTGAGCTTAAATGTGCACAGGAAAGAGTTCGATCTAGAGCAATGATCTCAACCGTTTTCAATGAATAGTTTTCCGGTGCTTCATGTGACACTTCAAAAATGATTTCCTTTAGCTAAGTTCACAAAAATCGTTGACAATCAAAGGGAAGTCAAATGCAACATTTGCATTTGCTACAACTAAGTCAATCACCGAACGGGATCGTACAACGATGTGCCCTTTCAGGCTACCAAATCGGACAATGTGGGCAGTTTAAGCGAAGACACCAGCGAGTGAACAATAATCTAATTTCTATCACTTCAATTACATCAGTTTTCTT